ACCTAATGTGATGAATAATTATAAAACAAATTAGATTATAGTGCAGCAATCTCATCCTTTCATCTCTGTTGTATTCAAGGATGGGATATGAAAAATACATTACATTTCACATCTATGGTTTTAGTATATCAATGGCTGCTTACAAGTTTTCCTGAGGGATGAGTAGAAATAGCTAACACCCATCTTTCTATTTCATATTTAGCTCTGGCTTTAGTAGAGTCATAGCTTATGTTATATAAACTAAACTAAGACTCACAATACCGAGACTATATTTCTAAGAAAGTTCTGCTTAGAAGCCATGTTGTTGTTGTTAGGTGCCATTGAGTCAGTTCCAACCCATAGTGTCCTTATGCACAGCAGAATGAAACACTGCCCGATCCTGGGCCAATCTCATTACTGTTGCCACACTTGAGTCCATCGATGTTGCCACTTGGCCAATCCGTCTCATTGAGGGTCTTCCTCTTTTTCTCTGACCAAACATGTTTACCAAACATGATATCCTTCTCCAGTGATTGGTCCCTTCTGATCAGTTGCTGTTTTAACTGCTCTCAAATAAGCCAGCAATCCATGCACAATTGAACAAAATGCTGTCCATGCTTGAGCCATCAATTATGGTTCAACCCCTTCATGATCCATAGGGTTTTCATTGGCTGATTTGTGGAAGTGCATTGCCTGACCTTTCTCTCTAGTTCCATTTAGCCTGGAAACGTCACTTCCTCAACAATTCAGAAAACTTCATTGACAAAGAGCTGATGTGTGCTCATGAGATATCTTGACTAGTCCTCACTCCTGTCCTGGGTCTCCTTCAGTGAAGGCAAGAATTCTACCAGTAAGGCACCACTGTGCCCAGATTAGAAGCCATGCTGCTGCTATATGGTGTCAAATTGGTTTCTGACTCATGGTGACCACATACAGAGTTTCTGAGCCCGTGAATCTTTATAGGAGCAGAAAGCCTCATCTTCTCCCATGGAGTGGCTGGTGGACCTTGTTTTTAGCAGTTAACATATTACCCACTCTCTAGATTGACAATAATTAAATTGTAAACACAAATGACTGAGAAGAAAATGTCAGAACAGGCACAGTGTACACTCTACCTTTATAGTAATTCTCAAGAATTCCCATTTGTATAAAAATAACAATCAAATTAAATCTTAGAAGTTAACCAGAAATTTTCAAAATTATCTAAAAGACTATAATTTTATTTTTTTTATGGTTGACTCCATATTAAGTATACAATGTGCCTTGAATTATCAATGTTGTTGTTTTTAAGTGCCATTGAGTCAATTCTGACTCATTGTGACCCTATATAGGGTTTTCAAAGAGTGGCTGTTGAGTTTGAACCATCGACCTTGAGGTTCAAGCTGACCTTGCAATCTAGCACATTAACCTGCAGCACCACACCAGGAACTATTATCAAAAACCTGATCTTATAACAGTTGTTGTTGAGTGCAGTGGGTTAGTTCTGACTCATAGTGACCCTGTATACACTTTCTGAGGAGTGACTGTGGGTTTGAACTACTGACCTTGTGGTTAGCAGTCCAGTGCTTATACTACAATGTCACACCAGCACTCCTTGTAACAATTAGGCAGACATTTAAAGATATTATTGGTTTCATCTGTTTCTCATCATTTAAAAATCTTAAATTGTATGAATTTTCTAATCTATATATTAGCAATGTATGCATAATGTATCAAAATAATTTATAAACAAAAATGTATTAAGAATACATACAAAATGTATTTTATTGATAGTGGTGAGCTATTCAAATAGTTTGGGGACCTCTGTTCTAACTGATGACAATCGATCCTACAAACAGTTTGTCTCCTTAATTGATTATCATTTCTGTAAAGTTCTGAAGAAAATGAAAAATCCATTCTTTCTGAGTGTCCTTTCCTTCTTACCCATACACACACAACACACACAATACACACATACACACACAAACACATTCACAAACACACGCATCACACACACAAACACATTGACATATTTAGGGACCATGACTCAAAATGGTTCTCTCCACAATGAATAATCTGACACCACCTTAAAACTAAAATGGCACTAAATCTGTGAATTTGACAACATAATAGAAAAGGAATGACTGAGTGTCTAATAACATTTTGGAAACAAAGAAGTAAGGATGTAAAGTTCTCCTACATGAATCCAGCAGAAAGAATAAGGGCAGGGAAGAAACACAGACATTTAAAGATAGATCAACTGAAAGCCCGAGATGTGTAAACAGGGAGAGAGACACTGTTTAATTAGAGAAAGATATTTTACAATAGGGTGAAGTGTTCTGATTTGTGGGTGAATAGAGACACGCACATCTACCCTGTTGTTAGATCACATTATTGGAAATAAGTTAACATAATGTAATGAATAATTGTGAAACAAACTACATTACAATGTAGCAATCTTATCCATTCATCTCTGCTACATTCATGGCTGGAATATGAAAAATGAATTGCATTATACATTCATGGTTTTCATCTTACCCCTCTGTTGTTCCTTAATCACATAACAATTGTCTTGTTAATGAATCTAACAGCTATTAACATTGGTTTCCCTTAGGCTAAGGCTGTGCATTTAATTGGGTGCCTTCCTTTTCCTTTAGACAGATGCTTGATACCCAGGAGCCCTTTCCTTATTCCCCACTTACAAGTGCAGCCTCCAAGGAAAGCTATTAACCACTGCAAGAGGATGCAAGATGTTACCAATTTGTCCAGTCTCTTACAAGTACCAGACCAAAGCTTGGAATCTGAGACTTTCGTATTTATTGAAGGTTACTATTTTCAGAGGAATCTCAAAATGAATCTTCTTTTTCTCTTTGTTTTATTTGTTGTTGTAAATATATATAGGTGTGGCATTGTGGGCTAATGAGTCAGACTGCAAAGTTGTTTGAACCGCAAAGCCAGTGGTTCAAGCTCACCAGCAGCTCCTTGGAAACCCTATACAGGGTCGCCATAGGTCAGAACCGACTCGACAGCGCTTAACAACAACAGCAACTTATAACATTTATATATATATATATATATATAAAACATTTACCAATTTGACGTTTTCTCATGTAAAATGTAGTGACACCAGTTGCATTAATCATATTGTACAACCATCAGCAATACCTGCTGCCAAATTTTACATCGTTATAAACAGTTGCTCAAAGCTTCCTAAGCACTGACTTTCCACCCCAGTTGTTGCTAAGTGTTACTGAGTAGGCACGAACTCATAATGACCCTGTATAGGGTTTTATGAGGAACAACTGGTACAATTGAACTACACTGCAGGTTAATGCTCTGGACTTCAAAGTCAGCTTGAACAGCAAAGTCAGCTGTTCAATCTCACCAGTGGCCCCTCAGAAATCCTATACAGGGTCGCTATATACTCCATAGAAATTAACAACAACAACAACACTGTCCATTTGGCAGTCCACTGCGTATTCTACATAGCCACACCAGGACTCCAGTAACCCCAGGAATCACTAAAAAACTTTGATCTCTGTATATCTGGTAAAAACTATACTTTAGCAAAGGAGTCCTGGTGTGGTGCAGTGGGATAAGCACCTGACTGCTAACCACGAGGAGAGCAGTTCAAACCACCAGCCACTCCTTGGAAACCCTATATAGGACCGCTGTGAGTTAGAATTGATTTGATGGTACTTAACAACAACAACAACATAAGTTAGCAACATTAAATATATATAAAACTATTCTTGATACTCAAGGTCCAAATTTAGAATTTGCCTTCTTTCTTTTTTTCTGCATTTGGGGCCTCTCTTTTAGTATATTCTGCTCTGGATTTTTAGGCTAAGCCTCTTTAGGCCAGAAAAGGACCTTGAGAATTTCAAGACAGGTGGACCAGCTAGTCATTAACATGAATGTGAATGGAAAACCTATGCAGTTGTAAGAGTTTGTTGTTCTAAAAATAAAATGATAATACTGCTCAGGTCCATATCCCAATATATCAAGAGAAGAAGACTGACAACTCTTACCAGACTATCAGCCAGATATGTGTTTTGAATACTTTCATCATCTCTCTAATTTTTGCCTTGTATTTGATGGAGCAACAAGATTCTTATCCTTCCTACCAGTGTTCTAGCCTCATAGTCTTAAAAGCTGAAAGACCTGAGGATATATGTTCCCTTTCTTTTTGATATTGATGACAATCTTAAACTCTAGAACATCTGATAATAGTTTTTTGTTTGTTTGTTTTTTAGCACTTTCTGTAATAACCAAAAGATATATGACTTTCTTTATCCCCCAAAATAAGTACCAAGCTATATAAGTTTTATAAGAAACTGACACTGAGTGAATAATTAATTAATATAGTCTACCAGTCTTAAAAATTCTCCTCTTTTTGTTCTTATGATATGAATTTTATTTTCCATCAAAAGAAAATGCACACATAGCAATTTCTGGGGTGGGAATCTATTTCTTTCACCAAAATATATGGATAATTTAAACTTCATTATAACTTTATAGGAAAATTGATGAAACTGGCTACTGATCAAGGGTTGAAGATGAATTTTGAAAATGCTCCCTCTTGATTTTTTCATCCTGCATTGCAGGAACAGCTACTTAAGTGGATTTACCACATATTAACTCTCTGTACTTTGGAAAACTTCATCATACAAAGTTTAAGAAAGGGCCAGACTGTCTGAAATTTTTTGCTCACGGGGACCAGTGAGAACACGTCAAGAGTTAAGAATATCCAAAAGTTAAGTTGGTACGACCTCTAATATTCAACAAGTTCAAAAAGTTTTAACATGCTTAAAGGAAGATAGACTATCTTTTAATGAATGAAAAGATATTTCTTTAGGGCCACGGTGGATGCCATTTGAAATGTATGTTGTATTATACCTCTGAAACACAGGACATCTGCCATTATGATAAAATGACAACAAGAAGAGATTGCTGAGTTTTATAAGACCAGCATGGGAAAGCAGGAAATCGAGAAGACGTAAATGGAATGCAAGAAGGAGGCTAACAACATTTTAACTTACTTGTAATAACAGATTTCATAGCCTGTTCGTATCCAGGTTGGTCTGCCAAGAAGAGCCTCCTTCACTGAATACATGGTTGGCTGCATCCCTACAAAATATAAAGGCAAGATTTAATCCATGAAGGAACAAAAAATGTAGAGAGAATTATGATAAACTGAATAATGGCCCCCAAAGATATCGAGGTCCTGATCTTTCATTTGCTGACAGTAATCAACTCAAAATGAGAAGAAACAGCTACAAACATCCATTAGTAATTTAAACATGTATGCAGTATGATTGTCAGAAAATTAGAAGTCAACAAAACTGAGATTAAATGAATAAAGGTCAATATCTTAGGCATTAATGAGCTAAAATGAACTGTTATTGATCATTTTGAATTGGAAAATCATATGACTTGCTATGTTGGGAATGACAAATTGAAGAGGAATGGCATAACATTAATTGTCAAAAAGACTGTTTCAATCTGCCTATAACTGATTGGAATACCTAAAATGGTATTACCTAAAATGTGCCCAGCGAAGGAGGCTTCCTGCGGAGCCTCTGCAATACATAAGACTATAGGTGGAAGCCTGAACCACATCCAGATCTCCAGAGATGGGAAATTTCCACATGAAAGGACGAGCAGACCAGCCTGGAGTGGCTAGAACAGAAGATACTTCTTGAAAGAAAGACCTACAGGAA